GAGTGAGAGAGAGAGAGAAAGAGAGAGAGAGAGAAAGAGAAGATTGGTTACCCGCAGAGTGTAAAGTAATTTGACGAGTGTAAAACGGACCAGACAAGGCGGCACAAGAAAAAGAGTGGTCACGGGAACTTCCCAAGTTTTTTATGGCTCAGTCTAGTGTTTAAAAAGAAAGAACGTGACCACAAAAAGGATAAAGGGGGGGGGGGGGGAACTGAAACCCATCTGAGATTCATGATGGACGTGACGCACGCCTACATCAGGTCGCGCGTGCTGCTTGAATTTGTGGGCCGCATTGGCCAAGCGCGGTGGCTGTTGACGCCGCCAGTAGGGCAGTGGTGGTGTTGTCGGAGGCGACGGCGGTGGCGGCGGGGTAGGTAGTGGAGGCGGAGGCGACAGAGAGTTGACCACGATAGCAGGGGCCGGCTTCATAAATGACACATGCCTAGAGATCCGCTGGCCAGTGACTGGATTTTTTTCTTTTTTTTTGACAATGCAAAACAATTATTGTGGAAAGGTCACAACAATAAGAGACAAGATCAAAAGGAAAGCTTTACAATAATACTTCGAAGTAATAATAATAACTGGATGTGACTGGATGGGTGATGATCACGGAGGAGGCCGTCATTTCGTCCACAGTCCTTTGGTTGGGGACCCAGATGAAGTCCAGCTTGTTGTGCTGCCGTTCGTTCTTGCGCAGAACCTGTTGACCCGGCTTGAGGGTGATGGTCGAAGGCGGTTGTGCACTTCGATGTTGGTTCGCCGCCTCGCATTGGCGGGCGAGGAACGCATGCTCCTTGTTCGCCCTGACGGTCGCATCTGGTGCTGGGGCCGTGCACAGGCAGGGGAGAGTGTCCCGGATGCGGCGGCCGAACATGACGGTAGCTGGAGGCGTCTTGGCATCGAAAACTCGGCGTCGAAAATGAAGCCGGAGTGCCCCTTTAGTTCGGGGTGGAGGTCAAGAAGACGGGTGAAGCAGCTGTAGAAGGGGCTTGTGGTCGGTGTAGACCGTGAAGCCGGGGTCGCCGCTGAGGCAATGGGAGAAGCGCAAGCAGCCGTACTTCACACCGAGGGCTCCGCGTTCCGTTTGCGAATAGCCCTGCTCAGTGGGGTTCAGGCTGCGGCTCGCGAATGCAACTGGTTTCAGCTCGGAGTGATCCTGGACGACGGCTTCAGGAGACTGGCAGAGGGTGGCGCCAAGGCCAACGGGTGACTCATCGACGTAAAGGTGAGTGTGTTTGGTACGGTCGAAGTAGGCGAGGGCCCAATCAGCTGCTATGTCGGCTTTGATGGCATCGAATGCTGCCTGAGCCTCAGGTGACCAATCCCACTGCTGACCCTTGCCAATTAGTTTCCGCAGGGGTGCCATCTTGGTGGCCATGTCGGGGATGTAGTGGCGCATGAATGTCGCCAAACCCAGGACACTCTTGATATCGGAAGCTGACTTGGGTGTGGCGAAAACAGCAATGCTCTCTTTGTGGTGTGGTGCAGCCTGAGTGCCCCGGCGACTGTACATAGTATACATGAAGGCCAGGCGAGTTTGGCGAAACTGGATTTTCGCCAGGTTGAGGGTAACATTGTGGGCACCTAGGCGTTGCAGGCAGGCGTATGGGCGCTCATCGTGGACTTGGGTCGTCTCGCCGTAGATGAATATATTGTCGTATCCAGTAGCAACGCCGAAGTTCGTTGCGAACGTTCTGCTAAATCAAAATTGAGCGAATTTCGGTCGGCTTTTTCGTACTGCGGCAAAATGAAAATGAACAACGAATTTCGTTGTGCTAAACCTCTTTACTAAAAGTCGCTAAATCCGTTTCACGCGCGTTCCGGGAAACGGCACATGCGACATGCATATTAAACATGACACGATGTACTCCTATCATGAATGTCTGGAGTGGCCAAGGAATGCCACAGCGCGTATGTAGACGTGAACACTACAGAACTGTTAGCCAGTTAGTTGTAGAACGTCAGTACCATCGGTCAAGGTCGTGCAATGGTATCGCATGACCTGATTGTTTAGTAAATGGTGGTTTTAGTGGACATTTTAGCGTACAGTAACTTGTAGTTTCTTGGTCCTTTTTTTCTTTACTATAAATTTATCCTTGGCTCTCCATCCGAGTCCATACTTGTATTATAGATTTAAAATCTAGAACAAGACTTCTAACTGACCAAGTGTTGAAACTATCAAGAAAACAGAAGACGTACCGAGTCTTTGGCTGTCCTGAGCATGCAATGGCTTGATTAAAGTGAGTATTCAAAACGGGCCAAATTTCAGCGAAAATAGCTGTTGAGACAATGGCTATACAGTAAGTATCGTTTATAAAGTGACCGGATATAATGATATACCGGTTATAGTGATAGAACACGTCAAAATCAAAATCAAATCTGAAAAAATACAGCTAAAATATCACTATATACACTATTATCGGCTATACCGATATATCGCTTATTGTGATGGCCTTCAGGAAGCAAACCATATCAAATGTACAGGAAAATATCGCATATAATGATCAAGAGTGATCTTTCTGCATGCTCTTGTCCGTTTCTGGCTGTGTTGCCTCTCACGATGATGTTGCCAACTCACGTACACAGCCACTCATGTCTATTTCTGGCTCTACGCAACTCGTTGGACACCGAGTAGATCTACGATCTACGTGAGCACGGATCCAGCTCAGGCTTTTTTTGGAGAACACGCTGAAGAAGCAGCCATGCCACATGATGTATCGAAGTTCTAGTACTCGTACATGTACAGTCTGTCGTACTGCACTGCCATGCACTGCTCTGTGTCATGCACCGGTACACAGTCCGCGGAGCATGCATGCACTTTCAGCATGCTTTTTCCAGCGTGTACGCATCATTTCATGTGCAGTCATGTGCCATGTGTCGGTCAAACATGCAAATCGGCTATAGTGATGCACCGGATATAGTGATACATTTTCAAAAATCAAAGGGGCACGTTATATCCGATATTTACTGTAATTATATATTCTGATGAGGTCTAACGCAAGTCTAACATGAGGTCTTATGTAAACCTGACGTTACCTCATGCATAGCAGTTGACCGTTCTTCCCCTTACACGTCAATGTGTTGAGAATGTACTGTGCCGCGTTGCCAAACACAGCTGGTGGGTATGTACTGACTGCCCTGGGTACGTTATCGTGCTCGTAGTGCATGAAGCGAATTGACGGCGTATTAAGTCAAGGGTGTTGTTGAGACGATGGCTAGATATACTGCGATAATGTCTCACGCAAGCCTAACGTTACCTCATGCACAGCAGTTGACCGTTGCCCCCCTTACTCGTCAGCGTGTCGAGAACGTACTGTGCAGCGTAGTCAAAGATGGCCGGAGGAGACTGCTGGCGGCACACTCTGGGTACGGTGTCATGCTCATAGTGTGCAAAGCGAGTTGACGGCGTATTAAGTCAAGGCCGTTGAAACGATGGCTAGACGTTATGTCATACACAGCAGTTGACCGTTTTTCCCCTTGCTGGTCAGCGTGTTGAGAATGTACTGTTCTGCGTTGCCAAAGACGGCCGGGGCCGGTTGCTGGCGGCACGCCCGCGGCACGTTGTCGTGCCCGTAGTGCACGAAGCGCGGCGATGGCGTAAGATCAATGCCACCATCCTTGGCCAGGACACCCACCATGGCGTCCTCCACATTGCCGGGCAGTCCCGGGGTGGTCAGGCGCAGCAGCGCCGAGCGAACGATGACCCTGGCCACGTCGCGCGACACAAAGTAGGCGAAGCCCGACGCGAACGGCGGGTAGTCGGCCTTGTTGTACTGCTTCCAGCTGACGCAGTTCTTCTTGAGCATCTCTCCCTTGGTGTCGTTCTCGCAGTGCTTCGCACCCAGTGTGGTATGCTGGTGGCCGCAGTAGAGACGCTCTCGTGCTGACGCCAGAACCAGCGGCACGAAGTTGGACCAGATGATGGTGGCGTCGTCGTCGATGAGCATGACGTAATCGTACTGCAGCGTCTCCACGCTCCACTGCAGCATCCAAACGGTCTTGGCCGTCATGACGTCATAGCTGTCCGTGAAGTTGCCCATCATGATGTCGCCGTTCTCGTCGAACTCCTGCTGGAGGCGTGCATTCTCTGCCGCGTTGGCGTCGCGACCCGTCACAAACATACACGCGACGTCCAGAATCGTCCGGCCTCCTTCACCGACATACTTGTGGCCGGGAATGTTGTAGTATACGTCCTTTAGCAAGGAAAGCTGGCGTCCGTACTGCACACGACCGTGCTCGGCGTTCAGACGCTTCCTATGCAGCAAACCAAGATTACACTTGTCCACCCAATTGAAACGCACATTGCTACGCTGCTGTCCATTCTTCGGACCGGTTTTCACCAGCACCTTTAGCCGCACACGCTCAACACCATCGATGTGTCCACCTTGTACTGTCTTTCCTCGAGCAGCAGAATCCACTACTTGCACAAGTATTTTTGCTGGTCCCGGACTTGGTCCCTGATTGCTGTGACCACTGTTCACTACATTTTCACTGCCCTGTGGTGCACTGACAGTAACGGCTGCTTCTGCTGCTGGTACTGCTGTTGCTGCTGCTGTTGCTGCTGCTGCTACTGCTGCTGCTGCTGGTACTGCTGTTGCTGCTGCTGCTGCTGCTGCTGCTGCTGCTACTGGTACTGCTTCCACTACTGAGCGGTGCGACTGCAGAGCGGACCTGAGATGCTGCAGAACGCTCGCTTCGACTGCCTTGGTCGCCGCTGGTGCCCGTCTCAGCTGATGTCTCTCGATTCTGGCCAGTCGAACTGCCACTGTTGAATACTCACGCCAAGTCGGCGACGGGGAGTGCAGTAGATGCGACGCGTTCGGATCCAGCAGGATTCCGTGTTGTGAAACGGTAGTCCAGATCATCACAAGCATCCACGGTACTGTAGCAAGAAGGACCAGAGCTAAGGTGACATTTCGCCGAATTCTCATAATTATTATCACCACTAGCACGGCGCCGGGAAGGACAACCTGACGCTGTGGCACTGCGTGGAGAAATAAAAATATAAATTCGTTGAGTGTGGTTGAGTAGAAGGTGAACCTCAGGGAGTCGTACTCAAACTAAGTTTGAGTACGACTCCCAGGTGATTCGTGGTGAACCTCTTTCATAGACTACTGAATTCAGTAGTCTATGTGTCACGGCCAGGGAGTCGTAAAATACCGGGAGGCGACACGCCACACATTTCACGATCCGAGGATTGCCGCACTCGACCCGCGAAATTTGAAGCGTGATTGAAACGTCGTCGTCATCTTCTTTTTCTCAATTGTTTTTGCTATATGCTTCGAGGCTATTCTGGATCTCCAGAGCGAAAGCTGGTTGTTTCTGATACGTACCACGCATTACCTTAGGTTGAGCCGCGGCTTTTAATTTTTTTTTGGAAGTTCACTGCTTTGGAGACGACGGAATGTCAAGGTAAGTTATTCACGAAATGTACTCAAATTTGAATTGAGTCAATGCGAATGACCCCCTGTTTTCGGAATAATTCTCCACTAAACACACCATGCCCATGGCCCCTTCATGTTGTCCAAGTTCCATTCTAGGTTTGTGTGAAGTTTCGAGATGAAGTTCGACGATGTACTCACCTTTCCATGGAAGGGAAAAAAAGTAGCATATCAAACAGAATCCATGCAGTATTTGATGCCACTATCCTCATTCTTCTGCATTCAAAGTGTTTCACATCTATATGGCCCATGAACTGCAAACAATATTTGTCATTTCTTAACTGTTCATAGCTGTTCATAACTGTTCTGAACACATTGCCTTCAGGAAACGTAAGGCCGAGTCGCCTCACCGACTGAGCAAAGTTCTCTGCGACGAAAGTCACACTATCGGCGAATGCACTCAAGGTGAATACCCGTCAATATCCTGTATACTGCTTGTACCGCTTATCACAGTAGCATACACACAAGCACACATACACACACACACACACACACACACACACACACACACACACACATGCATGCTCGTGCACACACAAGCGCAAAATTCACATATCACTGGTTCAGTTGTTTTTATCTGTGTCGTATTTTGTCTTATACAGAGCTTCCGAGCCACGCCGAGTCACCTGACCAACTGAAGAAGGTTCTGTGCGACGAAAGTCACACTATCGGCTAATGCACTCAAGGTGAATACCCTGTGGACTGCTTATACCACTTATCACAGAAGCACACACACACACACACACACACACACACACACACACACACACACACACACACACACAAGCACAAAATTCACATATCACTGGTTCAGTTGTTTTTATCTGTGACGTATGGTGTCTTATACAGAGCTTCCGAGCCACGCCGGGCCACCTGAATTCTCCAAACAAGGCTGAAGGCTTGTCACGGCATCCTTGCCAAATAAAGGTAGCTGCAGCAAGTTGTCGTTGCGACACCTTGCTCCTTCCAGCTCACGCCGCACGGCCACCAAGCACCAACCACCATGGTACTTTTCAGCAAGGTGAGACAAATTGTCAATCACCGGTTCGGGGATGGCTTCAGCAGCTTTGGATGGTGCTATTGACGCTTTCCTGATAGCAGCGGCAGCCGTGGCATGCAGGTAGCTTATCAGATTCGCTAGCACTGCAGATGTAACTTCCAAATCTGAAGAAGAGAAAAGAAAAAGACAACATATAAGGACTGGTGGTTGCAGAGACTGTACTAGTATTCAAAAGCCAGCGTTTGCATACCTAGTCTGCATACCTAGTCAGAAGCCAATTTTTTTCCAACATGCGTGCAAAACGCACTGACCTTCACAATTGATTTTCACTTCGGGAATAGCTGTTGCGATGACGGACAGCATTTGTTGCCATGCTTGCGAAATATCAGCACCCTTGCATGCCTTCAGCTGGCACACTTCCTGGCGTAGCAGATTTGCAGTACCTGATGCCTTGTGTAACCGTGTCATAATAACATGCAGGAATGACTCCGTCGCCTCAGTAACACTCGCCTGTCTCATTGTCAGCAGTTTGCAAATTCCATGGATCACTGCACCTTCCATAGGCCTGTACACCATGATGGCACTACCACTCTTACATCGATCTGCACATAGACAAAGTATGGTTTGAGGATGGAGGTTTACATCATCTACGGTGATGATACATACTAGGTACACACGTAAATTTTCAGGACTTCAATAAATATCCTGTCACAGTGAACAAACAATGCATCGTGGGCAGACTAGGATGAAAAGGATGGTGTCGACCACCTAATTTATCGGGTCAGTTCGGGCACTTAGGTATGCTACAGATTATACATTCGTGTCCACAAGGAAGAGACAAAAACATGCAAACGAAAGAATCTCACCTGTAGCCCACAGCTGAACATCCCCACAACTCAGGTCACCAAGTGAATACGTGGCGTCATCTACATCTTCCACGGTGGACTCATCACTTTGGCAGTCATCTCTGTCAAGCTCCATCATCCTTTACTTCGAAGGCCAAGGCACAAAGTATTATTACTTAGAAAAACAAAACGAACTGCTGACACTGGATTCGTTGTGTGCAGGATAATTTTATTGAGTTTTCAAATTTTTTGGACCAAACAGCGAACGCGTCCTTTTGCATGACCTGCGCCGCTTTGACCTCATGGGAAGTCCCTCATGCAGCGCGTGAGGTCTCAGCACTCGTGCCCGAGCTGAGGCAATCATCCGACGCGGTTGTGCATCTCGTGTCGCCTCCCGGTATTTTACGACTCCCTATAGGGCCCGTACTAGGGGTATGCTGCCGAAAATAAGGGACACGTTATACACAGAGTACGAATGGTTTAATCCATTTACCCCATGTATATTATTATTATGTGCTTGTTCGCGTAGACATCAGCATGGCCTGCAGCTGCATTAATGGGCATGCGAATCATGCAAACCAGCCAAAAATGTTCGCATAAGCCACTTCGAATAGATACAAAAGACCATAACCATTTACCCCATGTACTGTCCCAAATAGAGCGTGACCAGCACTAATATCTCCCTTAGTAGGGACCTTTCGCACCCCGCGTACGGATACGAAACGAATGCTGATTCGTCACCTGGGTTCGAGGATTCGTCAGAGTCCCTGCGGAGAACTCGTTTTCACGAATGGAAGCCTCTTCATTCGTGGCACGCTCCGAATCCGTCAGGTACACATTTATTTAGATAGGTACACATGTTTTGCAAGGTACACATTTTTCCCTTGATTCCATGATCTATGCACGTGTGCGTGTAAAAACCCGTACGCCAAACTACCGGCGCCCGCGGCCGTATTCGTAGTTGCCATGCACATTTGCATGACGACTCGCGAAACCTGAAATCTGTTTTCAACGAAACGATTACGAGCCGAATCAAACTTTCGTTTCGTATTCGTTTCGTAGCAAATGCGAAAGGTCCCTAGTATTGACCCTGTGACCCCAGCGGGGTATATCATTGACCCCGGCAGGTATATCGCTCTATATAGAGGACTTTCCATTACATCACCTTTTTGGCGCCTTCCCGGTGTCTACCCAAAGATCACCCATAAGACAAGTCCGTGTCCTCCGGTAAAATGTGCTTGGGTGGCAAAAAGAGAATCAAATGTGTTGTTCGGTGTACGGTTGAAAATGATGTTGCAGGCCGTCGCAGTGGTGAAGCACTTTTGCTTTTCTTTGATGTGGTGAATAGTTTCGGTAAGTCGCGAGGATTACTAGCCGCAGTTACTCTACTGTTTATTCCAGCCTTGAAGAGGCGTTGCCGCGAGAAGATTGACAGAATCCGTGGGCCCAGTACATTGATCCATATTTACCTATGGACGAAGACCTTTCAGCCAATCCCCCTGCGTTGGGTATCCAGGCCTCTCTAGTGAATGTCCCCAGCACATATGCAAAGGACTCTCTAAAGTCTTACAATAGCCCTGATGGATACAAATGCATGTGTCTCATTGCTGGCTGGGTTGGCACATTATGGTGTCTTGCCCAATCGAAGGAAGAAACAACAACTGTCAACAAAATACGTTTGCAAACGTCAGGCACTCGCGGAGTGTTTTTGCCGAACCTATCCATCCTTGGGTAGCTGCTGAATTACCTGGAATTGTTCTTGGCGCACACTGCACTTGCATGGTGGGCCTGGGAGAAGCATGTTCCCATGTTGCTGCAGTGCAGTGTTGTTTTGACTGAATTTACGTTGGAGACTGAAATGTGATGTGTGCTGAATGTCAACACCTACACCACTGGGTCACTCACCAGTGGCTGGCACCGTCAATGAACACTACACGAAAATAGTGTACATGGATTTTACTTCAGCTGGGCAGAAATTGGAGCACCGTGCCCATAACCTACAAGTAGTCTTTGTTTGTTTGATTGTTTGAAGTTTTATTTTACATCGCAAACCAAACGGGCATTGATGCCCAATATTATGATGGCGATAGAATAAAAAGTGTAGCTCGATAAAGCTTCACTTGCGAAAATGAGAAAACAGTCAAAAGGAAGTATTTGTACCGGTAATTACAAGTCAAGTTCGAACGAAGTAACAATCAGGGAGAAATAGGAAGATGAGGACCTATGCCAGAGGGAGGTGCTATTCGGCCATATTAACCGTAGAAAAACACTTTCAGCAATCTTTTAAACGGGGTTGGACGACGAGCGGACGTGAGTTCCTGTGGCAGGGTGTTCCAAAGCTTCACGGCGGAAACCAATGGTCGGCTGTCGCCAGATGTTCGCGTCTCACTTCTCTTTCGCTGCCTGACTCTCTCTCTCTCTCTCTCTCTCTCTCTCTCTCTCTCTGCCTCTCTTGCTTTGCATGCCTGTCAGTGTATCCATGTGTGAGTGTGTGTGTGTGTGTGTGTGTGTGTGTGTGTATGTGTGCGTGCGTGTGTGGGTTTTTCTTCCTTATCAGTACGAGTATGACAATGTTGACATGCGGTGGCTGGTAGCACGAAAGCTGACAAAGTCAAACACGGCCATCATCATCATTGCTCCTATGTAGCCAAACAGTTGGTGTAGAGGCAAACTTAGTTGTCCTGATCTTAAAACACACTGATG